GAAATGACCATTAGTATAACTACATGTTTTACAATTGTTACCACATTTAATACACTTGTTATTAATATAATCAACTGCATAACCATCTCTACATTTAATGCATGACGAAGATTTATAAACTTCACACAAATCACCTGGTTTAACAATACATTGTTTGGTGTATGAATCATAAACATATCCATCCTCACAAACAATACAAGACTTTAAATTATAATCACAAACTTTACAATTTCTAATTGAACATTGTAAACAAATTCCATTTGATTCTTCTTCAATTTTAGTTGTTGAACATGCAGTACATCCAATACTTGAGTTATAACAATTAGCATCACAATTATCACTCTCAAATTTATAACATTTTCCTTTTCTCAACACATATCCTTCTTGACATTTTTCACAATAATCAGCTTTATAACATAAAGAACATCCAGTCTCACATTTTACACATGTTTTATCTTCTTTTAACCCATATCCATTTTTACATACAAGACAATTTGGTGATGAATTAGAACATACTAGACAATTAGGATTATACTTAGAACACTCATAACAATAATTTTGATAAAGGAAATTGTTGTATTGACATTTTCCTTCCTTTATTGGAGAAACACATCCAGCATTAGTGTCAGAACATGAAATACAAGTACCTTCATAAATACTATATCCAAGTTTACAATATGAACAAGTCATATTATTATTACATTTATAACAATTTGGATCATTTCCACATGTTATACACTTTTTTCCTAATGGAACATATTCATCAATACATTGATCACATTTATATTCTGTTGTTGAACATGTTACACAATCAGTAATATCACAAGTGGAACAAATACCATTCTTATTTAGAAGTCCTTTTTGACAAGTGTGACATTTCCATTCAGTTTGAGAACATAAATCACAATTATTTAATTTTTTCTTACAGTCATAACAAAATCCATTATATGGTGATGTTCCAATTGGACATTTTCCGTTTGTTGGTTTGACACATTCACTAACTCCTTCTTGACATAG